TGTGTTTCATTGTCAAATTCCCAATCTGGGGAACTTCAATAATATTCCGTAAAAATCTACAAAAAATTTCTAAGATGATGAAGACCTCACCTGTATGCTCATTGCTGATTTTAGTTGTCTCCAGCTTGGCGATGTCCTCTTGGGTTGCAGGTGATGGGCCCTGCCCTTCAACATTATTTAGTAACTGTTCAGAGAAAACACAAGTAAAAATCACCAAACAAATACATACTTAGGATGTCCCATCTACCTGGCACTGATACATGTACTTTACTTAAGAATTCACGATGCCCTTAAATCTGATCACAGGTAGTTTGAAAAATCTGACTGATAGAATCAGAAGTCATTATTGTGGTGGTGCCGCGCTGGCACGGAGGTGGTTTGTGCACATTACATACATGAACCTCTTCAACAAAATAGGCTTCAGTGACTTGGAAATTATGAGGCATGCTCAAGTATTGGAGGCGTGCATGTGAGTGTGGGACCAGTGCCAGAATGGCTAAACTGTCTTGGGTATTTAGGAATGCCTGGTTGAACAAAGGAATAATGTGACTTGACGGAATGCAGGCATGCCTCAAGTTTAAGAACACGCCTGTAATGTGGTTTCATCAGTGTGACCACAGTAATAGTGTTTCCTAAGATCGGTCGCTGGGAACAAAGCACACGCACAACACAATATCCACTCAGAGCTCCTTTACTTTAACCTGGAAGTCATGTTTTCCTGACCGGGTGCCATCTGCATCAACTCCCTGGGCAAGTTCTATCAAGAACCTAGCACGGGGATTGTTCCAACAGGTCTTACCTGGGTAATGATGGCATCTAAGCCGCCTTCTCCCCATGCATAGTCTCGCGGGTTGCCATGAAGATTTAGCATGTGACTGTCACCAACAAAAGGGGAAAGAACGCATGAGTTTTACAACACAGATGGTTCCAGATGTCGACGTTAGTTTCTTGAGATGTCATTTTGTTCACGTTCCATTGAACAAATGGAAAATGGGGTGCCTGGACCCCATAAGGACCATAGATATTCCCCTAACAATGGTTGGGTTCTATGATCCCCAACATCTTTGAAACTCCTCCAAAGTTACTGCCAATCCTGATTGTAGATTTTACTGGTTTTAGGAAATATAAATTTAAAAGGGTCCAATTCCATGTGCTTGTGGTAGGGTCTTGAAAAATAAGGGATCATATTTGATATCAGGATCATACGTTTCTCTCAGGAGTACAATCTGAATGTACATTCTTGTTAACATAGAGCAAATTTTCTTTCTACGGGAGTGCTCCTGTGGGCCCAGAGGACCCATCTGCCATTGTTGTAGGCATGGACTCTGGTGCCGCATGCAGTAAGTAGCTCACAGGAAAGCCTTCTAAGCATTAATAAATGGCCAGAAGTACGAGACAAATGCGGAACCAGCACCCAGTGCTGGGTTGGCACAACAGCAGACCTGCCAACCTTCGTGAGGTCAGGCAATACCACACAATAGATTAAAAGGTATGTAAATGAGCCCTCAGTTCATTCAAAATTCTAATCTATTATGTGGTGACGCCTGACCTCAGGAAGGAGTACGACAGGTTGGCAGATATGCAACAGTGACAATTGTACAAGGCACAGGTGGAAGCCATTTGATAAAGAGTCCTAGGCCGTTTCTGCATGAAAAAAATTTGTATCACTGTTTAGTTTATGAGGTGCAATGTACAACCGATCCCTCGACTTTGTACTGCAATAGTAGCCAACTTTAAGGAAACCACGTGGATACATGGGTAATGAGACAAACTTCATACTCACACTGGAAAGATGAACCCTCCGGGTGCTTGTGACAAAGGGTTGCCAAGTCCTAGTAAATGTTGCAGAATTCTATGGGGGAAATGATAAGAAAAGAAATAGTCACACAATTGAAAACTACCCTGCTTTCGTGCTGCAGCTGAACTTAACTTCGTGTATAAATAGTCAAACGTGGTTCTGTATGTTGTCAAAGTTCAAACAAAATAGGAAAGCATTTTTTTACCTCCGTGAAATAATTACCTGTAGTGAATGTTTATTTGTAGAAACATTTAAAAGTCATTTGCAAATGAAACGTTGATGTTGTCACAGGCATGTAATAATAATCACGGGTATTTATTTAGCATCCATGTCCACCATGACAGGTACTCAAGGTGCTTAATCATTATTATCCCTGTTCACTGAGCCCAGAAACATTCCTAAACCCATCACCCGCTCCCTTGAAAGTACACAAGTCCAAGCCGCCATTTCAGGGACAAAAAGGCTAATCAAACACAACAGCCATCTCTGTCCTCACACATACATGTACCCATATATAACCCTGGGCTGAGAGAGGCAAGCGGGAGTAAAGTGACTCGCCAAATCACAACATGTAACCAGCTGCGGGATTCGAACCACCAACCATACGATTAGGGGTTACAAACCCTAACCACTAGCATCATGTAAATCACGCATCATGTAAGTCATTCCATAATAAGGCTGTAACGATTCACCAATGCATCAATAATCGCGATTCTAAAATGCCACGATATGACATCGCGATACAAAATGTGAATTGTGATATGGGGATTAAATGATAAAATGAGCACTAAGTTGAAAATAAAGTTAGGCCTAATAAAAATTTAAAATATATAGCTTTTTATTTTATATGTCACCTATACTCTTGCAAGAAATAGTTTGGACATGTTTAGCATCATGAACAACTTGCCGCACATATCTGGCAATAGCACAAATGTCACGGTCGGGCATGCATTGTGGATGTCACAGCATGGCCAAACCTTCACACCGATCTCGGTGTCATGAGAAAATTGGATTCACAATTTCACATCAGACTTTATCCTTTCATTTGTTAAACCACACCAGTTTATCAGGTTTAGACAGGTGTTTTCTTCCTTGCGTAAGCGCCAGTTTTTCTGTCTTTTTCTCCCGACGCGACGGCCAGGTGAAACTTTGAACGTCCCCATTCGGAACCCGAACAATACTGGAGCTCCATAATGCACAGGACAGAATCTATGAACAGTTTACGCATACAGTGATATGTATCTGTGCAGCTAGACTCGAAGCGCAAGCCTTGTATGTAAGCAGCATCCTGGGACCATCCAGTCAATGTGTTGTGACTGGCTGTCAATGAAACATCAATATTCATACACGTGTCATTGAGACTCATTACAGCCATTCGTACATGAGTGGAAGTAGTGACTAACAATCTCCATTATAACTTGCAGCAGCACACGTTTCACTGTGAATCCACAGCTTAAAATAAGGTTAGTACATTTTTGCTTTTGCTGATAGAGGGTGTTGTGAACAAGGGCACGAAGTAAGCAAGTTTATTGTGTCATGTGCGGATTTTAAGTGCTCTATGTGCATCGTTTGGTGTAAGCTTTCAAACAATTTTTGGATATTAAATTATTGAAATGTCATTGCAACACAAACGTATAATTGTCTGAAGAAGCTCCCAATGAGATACAATCTTGGACAAGACCGATCCTCAAGTTACAAATCCGCAGAAAAAAAAAAGTAGATGGAATACACCAAAGACCATCAAAATCACTTTTCGATTAAAACAACAAGATTCCCCACCCTAAAATTTTTGACCCAAAAACTTTCGATAAAAAAAAGATACTAACAACCTACCAAACCTATTTTTTCCAACGTAATAGGAAGCAAAGCTATTATTTTGTTTGGTCTAATGTTAAAAAACCAGAAACATTTTGAGAAATAAATGCAGTTTTATGTTTAATTTTGTGTCTCACCTTGTACAAGCTTTTTGTCCTCATCACCTGTAAGCTTACTATTGGTAAGTCACCATTGGTAAGTTATCAAGTGAATTGTCTTAAATCGGCTTTCGTCTTATTGGTTTGTCTTTACGATATGTATCGTGATACATATTGTATTGTGACCCAAGTATCGTGATACGTATCATATCGTGAGAAAGTGGTATTGTTACAACCCTATTCCATAATGCATGAACCTGACAGAATTCCGCACCAATGAATGAACCCCAAATGCAAGAAACAATTTGTTCTCAAATTCCACATGGTACATGTACCATTGTACATGAACATGCTGCAAGTGGTTTGTAGAGTCCACTTTGACATGTTTGACATTTCAGTGTGGAAATCATACTTGTACTTCCTAAACTGAACTCACGTTTGGCAAAAAAAGTCTCCATTTGACTCAAGCCAATGTCTCAATTGGACTCAAACCAAACCTAAGAAGTTGACTTTCAAACTGCCCTTATTATCAAGCTTATAAATCATAGGGTTAAAAAAAATCCCCTCTTAAAATTATGACAAAGAGCTATTCAATATTCCAAGTGCATGTACAACTGTATGCCTGGGAAAATTTCCTTGAATCTAGCAGCCCTAAAATAAAACTTTGTGATTCTTCTTTCAGAGCCAAAAAGTGCAGAGCAAAGAAAACAGTGAGAATCTATTCTGTAAAACAAGCAATAGTACATGTATACATCGTTGTGTCTAATGAAGGTCTGTGATGTGCTTAATTTGGCACTTTGAAAACCCTGCTGTGACTCAAAGTTTCACAGTGCCCACAACAGCATCTGTTATTAAGGTGTGTTCTGTCGCATGACATCCTGCCGCGGATAAAACCCCCCATTACTCACGTGATCATGTCAGCTGCCGGGTCTGCTCTGTTGTCTCTAAGTCCCATGCGCTGCAGGGTGAACCTCGACGGGCCCCTAGTGGGCCCTAAGTGATGTAACCGGATGGGGCTATTGCTGCCCCCGAGGCTTATCGTGGTGCTGTTGCCCCGGGGATTGTTGCCGCTGGTGGCTGGGTTACTGTTACTGCCACCAATGCTGCTGCTGTTGCTGCTGTTGCCACTGCGGTTGCTGCTGCTTGCTTGATTGGATCCAGACTGTGATCTTGAAAGATCTGGGACACCCAAGTGATGCCATAGCTGAGGAAAAAGAGAGCGAGCAAGATCATTCCAGAATGGTACCTGTACATGTAGATTTCCGCCTGAATGTTTTGGCACAGTTCAGAATTTTGTACGAGGAGGGGGAAGGATGAAAGTTTCCCCACTTGCTTCTGCAAAGCAAGAATGTTACATAATGAATTATAAATGGTTTACAGTTTACAGAATGTTACGGAACTACTGAAACAATGATGGATTCATAAGAAACGAAGATTCTGAGGGCTTTTTGTATGAGCCTAATCAGTAAAACATGGGAAAAACACCAACATGGATTAAAATTCTCCATCACCAGTACAGTGAAAAGTTACCTGTATGGTAACTAATTTAAATTAAAAATGGGGAATGGTTTTGGTGGGTAAAAATTGGAAACTGGAAACAAGGATGCCAAAAAATACAAAGGCAATAAAAAGAAAGACAAAAAATATTAAAACAGAGCATTAAAAATACAGATTCAAAATTAAAGAATCATTTCTTTTGTACGTGTAATTCCCAATACCGTCATCTGAAGTTTGGCAAATCTCCAGCCGTCTTCATCTCTGTTTTTTACTTCATTCCATACTTTTGCTCCTGGCATACCATGCTTGCCAGCTCCAGTGCATGGTTGTAGTTGACATATGCAAAGGGTAATTTGTTGCTGATAAGGTTAGATCTGTTTTGAACAAAGGTGAAATGCTTTAGCAAGAGGTCTGTGAACAGCGTACACAGTATAGACTTACTGAAGTGAAAGCGAGCCCAGAATCAAATATGTCATTCCCCTCGGCCCCTAGATCATCGCTGGAGTCTGATGTTCTGCAGAACAAACAAATCAAAAAGGGAAAAAAATCCATAACATAGTTCGAAGATTAATATTTTTAGAAAGACTAACTTTTTTTAGTTACTATTTTGCTTTCAAGTCTATTTAAATGATACTTTACCTATTGTGAGCTAAGTCTGGTTTCAAAAGTCACCTTGAGTCTTGGCTACATATCAAGGTTACTCTCAGCCTGACACATTGCCCTACTCATTCACACTCACAAGCGAACTTCCTCACTATTTAAAAAATCCCACTTTTCTTTAATTAGGATGTTTCTAAAATCGGATCTGACCAACAGGCACTGCGTTGACGTTTGAATTTAGACCTGACAAGTGTCATGTCAGATGAGTTATGCATACGACTTCAATTAGACTCAAGCCTGATACCGAGTCATGACTTGAACAACATCAATTAAAGTGGTGGTTAAACGCTCTTGTCCCGGTGAGCATCTGACCTTCAGATCTTCAAGATGACCAGAGTCATACATGTACATGTAGGTATCTGAGCCAGAGTCTGTGTTGAAAGTTGAGCTATGTCATGACTCAAGAGTCATTGAGTTTGAGCCAAGTGAAGCCACAATTCAAAAGAAAAGCCTAAGCAAGCTGTGCCAACTGTTTACCTTTCTTGATCTGCACCTTCTCCTACTTCTTCTATGAATCCTCCATGGCAGTTAGGGCATGTGAAATCCTGCGGTGCAAAATGATTCAAGATCTCATGTACAAAACACAACACACTGAAAGTACTTTGACCAAGTTGAGAGCCTAAAATGTGCACTCAGACTGTGAAAACGAAATGATTACAAATACATCTTAAACCATACACTGGTATACATAGTGCCTGCCTTGCTTCAGTTTAGATTAGAAATTGATAACTGCATGTACTATAAGTAACAGTAAATTTCCAAATACGAGAGAGATACATGTATGTAGTGGACAAATTTGCAATAAGAATGGCAGAAAAGTGATAATGGGTAAAAGCCAACGAACTAATAGGTACGTTTTTGTAGTTTGATACCCATTATAAATTATACAATACAAAACATATCAAACTGTGTACACAGTCACAATGTCTGTGACTTATGGCATACAGGGCAGCTCTAAGGGTACTGTAACTGAAATGCTTACAAAGTACACCAAATAGGGGAAATAAAGAGGTTTTGTCGGGATTGCCAGCACCATAGTATTGAAGATCAAGCGAAAGCACACATCCACTGAACGATCATACCAAACAGTTTGTATCATTTAAACACAGACATGTGGCCAATAATATACTGTACGTGTACAGAGTTCAATTTTACCTTTCCATTTGCCAATGAACAAACAACACTGTTAATTCCATCAAAACCTATTTTACATGAAAATATGACACCGAAAACGATGACACAAAGGGGGGGCACATGTACAGAAGTACACGTACATGTATTTAATAATAATAATAATAACAGTTTTTATATAGCGCCTTTAACTAACTTAGATCAAAGCGATTCCTAATATTATTATTATCCCTGCTCACTGGGCCAATGAAATACTGGTATTCCAAATACCATCTCGGCTCCTTGGGGAGTATACAGCTCAACGCTGCCATTTCAGTGCAAAGCAGCTACACGTACATGTACATGTAATCAACCACAATAACCATCTCTGCCCTCACAAGTAGCCAATTACTCCTGTGTCGAGAGACACAATGAATGACAAAGTGCCTTGCCCAAGGGCACATGCACCATGACCCTAGGCTGGATTTGAACCTACAACCTACAGCTTTACCCGCCGACTACAAATCTGATGTTCTTAATACAAGGCCACAGCACTCCATGTATTTTTGATGTTCATGCTTGCACTACCACACACGTAAATCTAAGAGCCAATTCATACCGAATGGAAATTCAAAAACAAAACAAATTTGATGTAACAAATCAATTGGGAAAGAATTTCACATGGACGCCACTCATTGTTCCCTGCAGTGACCTATTAGCCATCTGAAAGCAATAACGTGCAAAACAGTCAAATGTCGCTGTGACGATAGTGAGGTATTCACTCTCAAAACACTTGGAATTTTTCAGACCGGTCTCTCAAGGTTTGTACACAGGATGTCAAGCGGCATC